TGGTGGGAGGCAAATAGGGGTTATGTGCTGAGGGTGTAATAAAGTGCAACTTCTGCACTTTTTGAGCTAAGAGGGAACTGATACACTCACTGAAGGCTGGGAGAAATGCTAAAAAGATTTCTAGGTGGTACTGATATAGCATTTTGATGACGGAGTTATCAGTTCCATCTGGTCTCTTGGGCTTTTTTACTTGCCAAGAGTAATATAATGCAGCTGATTTCATTGGGTGTAGGGGGGCGATTTCTTTTCTTAAATGTTTCCCAATTTTGTTTTTTATGATATCTGCTCCAGATCTTGCTGACAGTAGTAATGCAGCTGTAATTATTGTTGGCTGAAAGACTTACATGCTATTTTAAAAGCTGTACCATTAAGTGATATGGTGGTGTTACAAAATTTTCTCTAGGAGCTCAATTTATCCTCTTGAAATTTGTCTCTTATAGAAAGCACATGCTTTTTTTGTAGTATTCCATGCAGCAGTTACATAGTGTGTCATTTGAGATAACTTGTATTTTGCATCGTAATGCTTGTACCCAACTTCTCTCAGCTGTTAGACGAGCAGTCTACCACTTTTTGTAGATAACTGTTTTGGAGACCTGACTCTGTACACTTGCTTTCAAGCTGTAATGATGATAACTGTATCATATTACATATCAAGTGTCCTGATTAATTCTGTTACACACCATAGCAGGTCCTGAGTGCCCTGATTATTTTTGGGATATGCACAGCATATGCCTTTTGAATTTTGAGTAACCCTTATAGAAGGTTTTGAATCTTTGAGTAAATAAGTATCTAGACTATGCAAACTGTAATTACTTTATGGTCACTCAGTGAAGGTGTATCTCTCACTGACTGGTCTTGAATTTCTGTTTCTGTATTTTTCGTAGTAAGCATCAGATCAGACCAGCCTCTACCTTTGTTGTTTCAAAGGGTTAGAGGTGAATTTATGTCACTGATGATTACTATCATCTGGAATGTCACATAATCTAGCACTTGTGCCACTTAGTGAATTTTCTTTTTTTTTTGTACCCCACAGATGACCTGTGGCCTTGTAGTCCACAGCTAGAATGTGATGCATTGCTGCTTAGAACAAATAAAGGTCTAATTCAGGTACTACAGTCCTATATAAGAGTTTGATGGGAAATAAACAGATGTGAGGATGGTAGTATAGTGGTTGTCGAGAGACGAATAGTGACTGTATGCTGTGTGCTATAGAGATGCAAAGGAGTTGATTCCCCATTGTAGACTACCACATCTTTATGATTCAGAGATTTAGAGGTTCTTCAGTGGGAGAGTACTCCTAGGAGCATGCCTTTTGCTATGTACAACTCTTGCAACAGAGCTATACGGAGCTAAGTGATAACCTGTATGATGTTTATTGTAGCAGGATGGGACCTTTGCAGGTTACATTGCAATATTCTTTGCAAGGGTATGCTTATTGCTGCTGAGAATGTGCAAAAGCCTTTAAAGCTGCTCTATAAGTGGGACAAACATTGAGCTGGCTGAATGACTGAAGTTGAACTCTGCCTTTTGTGCTAATTGAAATTGTACAACTGGGACAGGATTCTGTAGAAGATTTGCTTTCTTGCAAGTAATGCCCTTTGTTACACCTAGGATATACCAGAGTAGATTTAGAACAACTATGTTACCCCAGCTTTTGACAGCTGTAACACCATTGGATTTTATAAAAGGTATTGAAAGCGCAGAAGCTAAAACCAAGGTAGATATGATCAGCTCAAATGAGTTTATCATATAATTCATGCATAAGGGATGCTTTCCAGTTTCTCACTGCAACTTGTGTGAACCTGGACATAGAGTGATATGACCTGGATCTGTGCAAAGTAAAATGGTGACAAAGGCTTAGGTAATGCTATTGGCTTAGACATGTGTAGGCACACCAAAAGTAATTAATTTGGTGGCTTGGGTTCTATAAGGTGCAGTGCATTACTCAGAGAAGATGTATTCTCTGCTTAAGCATATTTTTCCCCAGCAACATATAAAATGCTCAAGGAATGGGTAGGGTGCATCTGTTGAACTATAAACTCAAGGCCTTTAGGGCTGATGCTGTTGTTTAACATACTCTGGAGTTTGTGTTGTGAGAAGGTAAACTCTTTGTATATGACTAGTATGAACAGACTATCATCTTCTTGTGGGGAAGAATTTTTCATACTAATTGCAAGTGAGGAAGTAACTAAGGGAAAAGAGATCAGATTCTTGAGTGAGTTTACAACTTGTTCTTGAAGTGTTATCTTGCCCTTTTGTTTAGCTATACAGAGTTCTTGCTGTGTCAAGAGATTTCACAGCTCACTGGCATTCTTGATGGCAGCCAAGATATTTACAGTGCTTAACTTCGTAATTTTTCCTATTTCAATAATGTCCTTGAGAATGCTGAGGGGTGGTGATGGAGGAGACTGGCCGGAAGGCATGGAGGTAGAAGATGAATTCCTAGGACTTGCTTGTGAGACTGTTGAAAGCCTTTGTTAATAAAATTGCACTGAATTTCAAGAGTTTACAAAGATGGTATACTATTGATAATTCACAGGACATGGAGTTAAAACCTGTTAAGAGTTCCTGTTAAAGAAGAAACCTGGACACAGTATGTGTGTACTTTTGTTTACTAGTTTGGTAGCATACACAGTTGAGAGAAGTAAACAGGTTGCAACAGTGATTGTTGGCAGAAATGAAGAAAGCTCAGGCACTGTTAGGTAGGAAGTATTATGAAAGAGATTTCTAGTAAATACTAAAACAATAAGGTTGCTGCTGGAGGACAAACTTATAACCAAAACAAACTGTAGTGAAGTACATACTCTGAAATAGTAAAGATAAACTAGAAATGCAAATAGTCTGGTGGGAGGTCTTTATAATATGAAGTCCTACTAAAAATCCTCACTTTGGAAGTCCTGTTGGGTATAGGACACATATAAGGTTTGTAAAGCTCTTTTAAATAAAGCAGAAAATTTTTGCAGTTAATACTATTCAAGTCAAATGAGAAGAAATTGTGCTAGTGTAGTAATACAATTTTTATTATGGTAGTACAATAATTGAAACAGATTGTTAATAATAATAACAATAGAATAGAATAAAAATTATTTTGTTTTTGGTTTCTATGGGTTACCAGACTGGCAGCGTTGAGTTGTAGGAGGCAAGTGGCCTGTTGTATATACAGTTACATGGACCACAGGAATATGCATATCTAACAAGTTGCTATACAATGGATAAACACAGAAACATATACAATAAGAGAAATAAAATTTTAAAATACGAGGGCAATCCCAAAAAAAAGGTCTATATTTTTAGATATACAAAGAACCGTTTATTTTCTATAATTGCTACATCACTTTAAAGATTGAAGAATGCTTTATTTTTCAACATAATCGCCATTTCGGTCAATGCATTTTTGTAGACGTTGTGGCAGTTTTACAATGCCCATGTCATACCAGCTTGCCGCCATACCCTTCAGGAAGCGTTGAACCTCATCTTTCACCTCATCATTGAAGCAGAATTCAGTGGCTTAGTTTGTAGACTTTATTAATCAATTTAAATGCAAGTTAAAGTTACTTGCGATTTGCAGAAAAGAAATGTTTTACAAAGGTTTGGTGGCAGTTTACCTGTAATAAAGTATTAAATATATGTGATGATAATTTTATTTTGTCGCAGGTAATTTGATGTTAGATGAGAACTTTACTAGGGAGACACCAATTAATTATTCAGCAGTTGCAAGTGGATTGAAGCTAGATCACAAAGCTTCAAATCTGTGATTTAAATTTGATCGTTTCAAAAAATGAACTTCACCTCTTCTGTGTACGTCTATAAATTTTGTGGGAAAAAAAGATGATGTCCGATTTTCCTTCTAACACATGTATTGCAGCAAATTCGGTTTTCAGAATTGGAAGAAATTGTTAAATTTACTCCTGAATCTGCATTCGTTAATGGCAAACACGGTTTTGCTTATGTCAGCCCATTACAGCTTGGCATCTACCTGATGTTAGTGATAGTTTTCTGACAGAAATCACTTTTCTGAAACTCCTTTTACATTATTTTGAAGATATTATTTTTATAATTTTTTTTTTTTTTTGAATTTGAATGGGAATTAATTTTTGTTGGATTTAATTATATCTCTTTACCTTTATGTCAGAATTTTAAATGTTTGCCATACTTTAACCCCTTTGCGACGGCATGTTGCTGGACTAAAAACCCTCTGCAGATGGGTATGTCATGTATGCATCAGTCCCAAATGTCGCTAGCAGCTGGGTGATGATGCACTGATGCAGCACACCATCTTAAGCTTCTAATGCAAGTATGATACACCCATCCTGAAAGGGGTTAAAGGGCTATGTGTTTAAGCAATTAAAACATGCGTAAATATTTTTAAGCATCGGTGAATTATGAGCCAAAAAATCAGGGAATATTATCTATTATAAGTATTTAATAAAATAATAAAATACATAAATACTATTAAAAGGAATGTGGAGATAGGACTGTGATATTGTTAAATTGTTATGTTGACAACCTGTACTGCCTCTGAGATTTAAAAGTTCTTAACTGGAATTTTTTCTTGGGAAACTCCTGAATTTTTCTTAATTTTTATGTGCTTCTATGTAAGAGTGAATGCTATTAAGCATGATTCTTTTTTAATGAATTCTGTGTAAATTATAGTTGATAGTATTCATTGATTAATTTTTGTTTTATTCTGTTACAAAATGTACTTAATACAAAACTCAAAATTTTGCTTTATATTTTGTTATGAGATATTGTTCTTAGCAGTGTGTCTTATTTATTAGTTCCATGCTAAGGTAAAGTTTCTTATTTCTTTATAAATTTGATTTTCTTAAATAGTTTAAATAAGCTAAAATTGTTCATCCATTATTTAAATTTTCTTTTTATCATATGTTAACATCAAAATTAGATGTGTTATAATAATGTAGCATTTAAATACCATCTAAAAGTTGTGGTTTAGAAATGAGTTTTATGTTTCATCATTTAATTCTTCCTATTATTTTCAGGAAAGTTCAGAAGAGATGACATCTTTGGATAATGACTCCTTTTTAAACAGTTTAGAAACTATGACAATACAGAATTATTGGGCTGATAATTCTAAGAATACAAAAGTGTAAATAATTTTAAGCATGATTTAATATTATTACAATTAAAATTGTTTATAACTGTATCATATTTGTATTTGTCTTTCAAAAAATTATTTATATACCTCTTGTCACATTTTTGTTTCAATAATTTTATTCAAGGTATTCATGTACGGTAATAGATATGTGATTTCAAAGCAAGGGATGCTCATAGTCAGATCATCCCTGTAAAAGTGACATCTAGCTCTTGGAGCAGTATGTTAAAAATAAAAAAATAAAAAAGAAATAAATAAAATTAAAAAAAAGAAAAAGGAAAGAAAAAAAAAAAAAAAAGAAAAAAACGTGTGAAAGCTATTATATAAAATGCCATAATGTAAACACAAAAGATTAGAAAACCGTTGTAGTGTAATATTACTTAGCCAATTATCTCATAGTGTTTTCTTAGATTCTGTTTTATTTTATTATAATAAAATTTTATTTTATTATAATTCTTAGATTTGTTTTATTTTATTATAATAAAAAAGTCTAAAACTGAAAAGTATTTATGTGCCAGTATTGCATACCATTTTTACCTTTGTTGATAACTGTGTAACTTCAAAATAAAAATTAAACTGTGAAGCTAAAATAAAGGTATCTAAATGCTTATATCTTGCATGCCTTTTATGGGCTTGCTGGTAACTGTAATTTCTTGTGATACTTGTCTTTCAAACATTGAATGTAACTTAAAATAAGTATAAGATAAAGATTGATGATCTTGTATTTCCTTTCAAACTTTCTTTACATGCAGTTTTTTTTAATTTATTATTTAATTTGCTTTAGTGTACTAAAATAAGTTATTGTTTTGATTCTCTGGAACTCTATTTACATAAATCACTACTTAGATTTAAAAAAAAAAGTGGTTTAAATGTGTATTTATATGGAAAGTTAACTAATGTATTAGTTGTCTTTTTCCACGTGTTCATTTTGTTTTTTAAATTTTGTACGTGTATTTTGCATTGTCTGATATTTAGAAAAAAGCACATGTTTATTTCACAAAATGTCTTTAGTATTTACTTCCCACTTGATTAACAGTACTTTAAAAAAGCCTTTTGTTCTTCATTCATTGTTTGTATTAAAAGAAATATATAAGTGAATGTTTACATAACGAGTCATAAAATATTTCTTCACATTTGTAAAAACCTCGTATGAATAAAGATTTTATTTAAAGGAGATGATGTATCTGTGTTTGATGAAACTGTAAGTAAAATTATTGCTTGTTTGTTACATAGTGTCATGTCAATTTAACTCCTGAATCAAGTGTTCTGAAATTTTATAAAAATTTTTATTGGATCTTCCTGTAACTTTACACCCATGAGTAAAGATTAGCTGAATTTTGAAATTTGCCTATATTTTAGTATAATTTTCAATACAAATAATGGGTAATTTTTCTTTAAGACTAAAAGCATCATACTTCTTCTCATAGACTGAATATGCAAGGGAAATTTCAAATAACCTTCAAATGTCTGTGAGTAGCAGTCAAGTATCTAAACTCTGTCAGCCAGTTGATATATGTAGCAAAGGTTGCCAAACTTCATAAAGGTAAGAGCTACATGGTCAAGTTCATGAAAGTTTGAGAGCCTCAGTTGGATTTTCCAAGAGCTGAAAATCCATATGTGTACCTGTTCATCTCTTTGTACAGAGGGATGGAAATCAAACTCCACACCAAAAATATATACTCAAATCTACATAAATATTTTACTTTGGAAATCAAACTCGACACAATAAATTACATTGAAATTAACATAAATATTTTACTTTACTCCAACATACAAAAATGCAAACATAACTGAATGTTAATCTTTAGATGGCAGCTAAATGAGTTGGGAATCACATGTTGCCACATCGCTCAAAACAAAATCATTAAGACCTGTCCATTTGAGTATGCTCGTGACGTAGTTGATGCAATTTTTTTCCCTCCAGCGTAAATTCACTTTAGGCACAAGTTGTAAAACTGAGTTCACTCCTGTTCAGCTTTTTCGTCCGTGATGTGAAAGAACAGCCAATAGCCGACCAAGTTCTTATCACACGTCATAATCGGAAAATCTTCTTGCTTAGCCATTTCAATATAGCATCAGAACCACACAGAGATGAGTTTTTGCTTAAAGAAATCAACTGTGTACAGCAATAAAATGATCAGCATTGTTTACGGCATCCTCAGATATCTCAAACCATATATATTGGTATAAATTTCAATTTCTTATTAAAGAGAAAAAACTGTATATTTATAAAGCAATGATCTGACCAGTATATCTATATGCTTCACCTGTTTATAACGCCATTAAGTAATAAGAACCTAAATAAATTACAGTTTCTACGAAATCAAAGTTTCTGCCTTACAAAATTCTCCTTAATTATTATAAATATTTGCTATTTCATGTGTAATAATAATTGGTAATTTTTGTATAAGACTAAAAGCATCATACTTCTCATAGACTGAATATGTAAGGGAAATTTCAAATAACCTTCAAATGTCTACGAGTAACAGTCAAGTATCTAATCTCTGTCAGCCAGTTGATATATGTAGCAAAGGTTGCCAAACTTCATAAAGATAAGAACTATATGGTCAAGTTTATGAAAGTTTGAGAGCCTCAGATGGATTTTCCAAGAGCCAAAAATCCATATGTGTACCTGTTCATCTCTTTGTACAGAGGGATGGAAATCAAAAAAGCTCTATAAATATCCCAATATTAAATACACCAAAAACTAACTTCAGCAATATAACAACTTCTGAAATAAAGCAGTTGACTGTGAAAGACTATTCAATAAAATACAATTATGAAATTTTCGCAATAATAAAATACAATTATGAAATTTTCAAGAACAGTTACAATTTGCATCATACGGCAATCATTTATTGAATATTAATTAAATTACCTATGCAGTGACTTCTACTTCTTACATTATTATTCGTTAGCACTGCTGTCACAGATAGCTGGAGTGGAATCATACTGGATTGCAAAGGGAAAGGTTGTGAGTTCGAACCTCGCCCGTAACCACTGTAAATCAAAGTTAGTTTTTCTAATTTTGAAATGCGTTTCTTATATTTAATCATGAATATTCTTATTTTACCTATTATTATTGTTGTTTTCATTTCTTATTTTATCTATTATTTTTTTTAATTTAATTTAAAAATGTGCACTGCAAATAGAAACCATTTACCCCTTATGTAATGATATATCTGCATCTCGTATAAATTATCTCTTCATTTTTACCTTATTGCATATTTTATCCTGCACATAATTTTACATAAACTGTCCAAGGTCTAAACCTTATTTTAAATTCAAAAATAAATAAAAAGAAAAAAGTCTGAAAGCTTTCAGATTTTATATTATGCTCAAATGGGCTTTTCATTTTTTCATTTACAGGAACATACATGTTTCGAGAGCATTTGGGCTGTCACATTGTGCAAAAAATATTTAAAACAGCATATCTTTAGAAATTTTATTGGATGAACGTTTTTCTTCATTTGTGTGATAATATATAGAAAATAATTAAATTATAGAAAATTTTACTTATTACAAAGATTCTTTTACATGTACTCCCATACCACACTTAAACAAGCAAAGCAAGGGACGGGGGATTAAAAAATGTGAAGTTGATTTTATTATATGGTGGATGGTGTTTCAAGTAATTTAATTCTTTTTATATACTGTATTCTAAACCAATTATATAAATCTTAATTTTCATACAAGATAGAATCTACAAGTCTGTCAAACTGGCCGATAATCATCCTGAAGTAATTAAAAAATAATTCAGGATATTGATTTCACAAATGAGGAAGTAAAGAAAAAAAATCTCGCGTTGCTCTAAATAAATCTTTCAGACCCATTCTCGCTGTCTGTTGCATTTTCGCCTCTGCTTAATGATGGTACTTTCTTAATAGTAAAGTTTTAGCTACAAAAAAAATCATCTGATTTTGACATCTTGCCGCAAACATATAGAAACACAGCGAAGTAATAAGATGACGGCTCCATTGAACAACGCATTTTTTGTGGCAAATAATTCTATTAGTCAAATGCACTCTTCACAAGCGTTCTCTATTGAATGCTGTTTCG